CGGGGAGCCACCAAGTCAGAAGCAGATCAGCCGGAACCTCGCTGGGGTCACCGTCCTCACAGTTTTGGTTACTGGGTATTTAGCTCAAGGAAAAGGCTGACCTTGCATCTTAAAGCCCAACAAGAAGGATTTGGAAAGAGAGAAGATGAGCGGCCGGGACCCTCTCCTCCCCTCGGCGCCCCCGGCACTTGGAAGGGAGACACGGGCCGCCGCAGGCCGCGGGGCACGGAGTCCCGGACGGGTCGGAGCCCCCGCGGCACCCGCCAGCTGCCCGGGGACCTGCCGCCCCGGAGAGGCCACCACGCCGGGGAGAACGCCGTGCAAAGGCGCTACTTTAACTTTTTCTTTCTTTTAAAACACAAAAATATATCTTTATAGTACGTGGCTTGTCTTCCGTTCCACTTTTTTCTCAGCATATACTAATATATCGGCACGTGTGTTTTCGGTGCAGGGTTGAAGGCTTCTTCACAGGGAGATAACCGAGAGGTAACCAGTTGGCTTCGAGCTCCGCTGTCAGACCTGCCGAGCGAGAGACCTGAAGGGGGCGGGTTTGCCGACGGGCTGGGCTCTGTTCTTTCCGGAGAGAAAGGCTCAAGACCCCCCCGCCGCTCGGGCATCCCCGCCCTCCCCGCCGGTGCCACCGCCTACCCTCTCCCACTTAAAAACAGACAGCGAGAGCTGAAGCCAGTGTCTAGGAATCCGGGGTGACTCCCAGCAGGTGACGCCCCTGCTCGGCAGCCCGGCCCCGCCCGTGGGAGGAGACGGGAGACAGAGCCCAGGGCCTCGCGGGCCTCGCACGCCTCGCACGCCGGGGGCCGCTCACTGCGCAGGCTCAGTGTCTTTTCGTGGAGGAGACCTTCTTCTTCCGCGCCGCCAGCATCTCATAGAAAGGGTCCCTGCTGATGGCTGCTCTGGACACAGAGAGGGGACAAAAGAGACAAGACTGAGAACAGGCCCGGAGACGAGCCCAGGCTGGGGCTCCTGCAGTAGCACGGGTGCCCCCTGCCCCACTCGACGGCCACCACAAAGGCCAAGGCAGTGGGGCCAACCTCCACGGGGTCCACACGACGACCGAAGGGACACGAGCTTCGAGAGAGACACACGGTGCGTGTGACGAGACGATTCCGGAGCGTTCCCTGCCTGTTTCTACCTAGACTTAGGGCAGCATGGAACCGCGTTCCAGCCCAGAAGGACGAGTGTGGCACCGGAGCTCCACGAAGACCGTGGGCACCACACTACCCAACCCGTCCACGGCAGGCGGTCTGTCCCGGGCACACCGACTGGACAGCCGCGCAACTGGGCCGTCCACACCCTCGCTGGGCCCTCGGGGAGCGGCCGGCCAGGCCTGCTCCGCTCTGTGTGCACAGCCCGGTGAGGAGGGAGCCTGTGTCCCGGCCCTGCCCCGGAGACACCGCGCAGAATGGTGACGGCAGGGCCGGCCCCGCGTCACCGTCACTCCCCGCTCGCAAGCAGGTTGCGGCGCGGGCGTCCTGAAGCCTTCCGCGAACGGACTACTTTCCACACGAGCTCGCAAGCCCCGCTGACCAGCGTGGATGACCGCTCGGCCAACTGACTGCGACCTGTTCAACCGAGGTCACGTGTCCCTGAGGAGTGTCTCCACGGCTCCTTGGGGCAGCGAGAACCGACGGTCCCCGGCACGTGTCCCGAGGGCACTTGCCACGAAGGCATCAGTTAAAGTGTCAGGAGCCACGGCGCCGAGGCTGAGGGCCGCACGGCCGCCAGGAGCGCGGCTTCTGGAGTCACGGGCTCAGTCTGAGCACCAGCACCACCCCTGTGGCTCTGGACACTGGGATGGGCCTTGCTGTGTGCCTCAGTGTCCTCATCTGGAAAACGGGATGCGTCTACTCCCCGGGCTGCGGTGAAGGGTAAGGAGACGGCGCCCAGAGAGCACGAACAGTGTGAACCCCGCACCGGAGACGAGGCGGTGCTGGGCAGAGCGGCCCCGGGGAGGGCCTGTGTGCACGCTCCCTGAAGGACGGAACGGTGGACCCGACCTCGCACAACGCCCAGCGTCCCCGGCGGCAGAGCAGACCATCTGGAAGAGCAGCGCGGGGAAGGCCGTGAGCGGCCACAGAACAAAACACGCTCTGATGCCCCCGCGATCACACAAGGGGTCCACGGCCCGTGGGCCACGCACACACGGGGGCGTGGGAACACCGCAGAGGGCGCCTCAGACTGGCGAATCAGCTATCAGGACGACCGTCCATTCGGCCAAGAGAGTGAGTTGTATCCCTCACCTCGAACCACATACTAAGCATAAGTTCCATAAGGATTAAAGAATTGAGTGCTTTTTATAAGACGTACGGTAAAAACAGCAAGGGATACGTGGACGAGGGCCACTCGCTGCCCAGGATGCCCAGGGCATGGCGACTCCCCTGCCCAGACCTCGGTGGAGGGCTTTTAAGTGTTTCTTCAAATGCCGGCTAGCGGACACACCGTGTACGTCTCGTCTCACGTGTACCATCTAGTGACCAGCCCTTCCCTGGGGCACCCCGTGCTCGCCACAAGCGGAGGGCTCTGTCTCGTTTCTGGTGATGACGACCCAGCGTCCACAGGGACACTGGAGCCTCGTCTGCTGGGCGAGGGTCACACAGGGCCCCTGCAGATGCCACACATCGAGGGGCGGTGGGGAGAAGCTACCAGGGCCCGGGGCGTGCTGAGCATGCCCACCACGTGACCCGGTCTCACCCCCAGACGTCCCGGGAGCCTTCCCCATCGCTCCGAAGGGGTGGGAGGCGTGCCCAGTCACCAGAGAGCCCGCCATTCACCGCCGTACCGTGGGGAAGCCGAAGTCTGGCGGGAGGGCAGGCGACGCGCCCAGGAAGGACTTCTGGGCTGACTCTGGGTGAGTCTGTCCTCTGCCCCGCCTTCACTCATCTGTTTGCTGTTTCACCCTGGCCCTGCCACCACAGCAGACTCCAAGCTACAGTGCTCCCCCCTCAGGCTGTGGCCCGGGCGGGAGAGTGCCCGTCACAGGGGCCGTGCAGGGCTGCAGGGCCTCAGGTCACCCGGTCAGGGCCACCCACCCTGGACTCCGGGGGAGTCACACAGCCCAGTAACGAGCAGACTAAGGAAAGGGCCGGTGACGCCTGGCGGACCAAGCACCCGACGGGGAGAGCAAGGACGCGCTCTCAGAGACAGCAGCCACACCGCACACGCGGGCACAATGGCCGTCTGGACAGGCCCCACAGAGGCCCCAGGGAGGGAGGAGGCAGCTCGCCACATGCGGACAGCCCTCGCCGCAGTCACCCCCGCACCGTGCCGCTCAGCCAGGCGGGCAGAGCCGAGCCCGGGGCCACTGCTGTCTGTACCTCCGTAACCCTGACAACCCTGTTCCCTCCCTACAGCGCAGCCGTGAACGGTGCGAGTCTGTCTCGGGACCCTGGGTCGCACCCATGTGACTCTGGGCAAATTACACGACCTCCACGGTCCTCAGTTTCCTCCCCTGTAAACGGGACAACGTACCACCGAGGGAGACTCACGAAACGTGATGATATTTTATCTCCACTGAGCTGCCGTCCTGAAAACGAGACCTGCTTCCTACGACATGGGAGACCAGCTGGACAAATGGCACCTGTGCCTGTCAGCCAGGTCACCCGCCCCCTCCTCGGGTCTACGAGGTGCACTTTGGGAAGCCTCGGTTTGAGGTGCTCTCTTAAACACGCTGTCGTGGTCAAGCAGCCCAAGACCCACTGAGGGGCGCCTGGGTGGCTCAGTCGGTTAAGCGGCCGACTTCGGCTCAGGTCACGATCTCGAGGTTCGTGAGTTTGAGCCCCGCATCGGGCTCTGGGCTGATGGCTCAGAGCCTGGAGCCTGTTTCCGATTCTGTGTCTCCCTCTCTCTCTGGCCCTCTCCCGTTCATGCTCTCTCTCTGTCTCAAAAATAAAATAAACGTTAAAAAA